AAACGAAATCAAGGAAAAGAAGCATAAATATTCTGTACACTCAAAGTGTTGCCTCCTCTCTTTCTTACTCGCTGTCGCTCTACTAATATCTCTACGTTTAGCACGATAGGCTATAACTTTTCTAGACCTAAGTTGTAAATATACTCTAGCGGACGGAGAACGGGAAACTAAATGCGGAATTGCAGGCCACGGAGAGGGAATCGGCGGGGGCGGAGTTGAAGCATTATACAGGGTGTGTGATTAGGTACGGCTCTCGATCAGCTCTAGGCGTAGGATTGGATGTCTCACTAGGTTCTATATTAAATACGGATAGACAGTTAGAGGACATTTAGGAATGTACGACGGCGCCGCCAAGATCTGCTCGAAGTAGTAAAAATATACCATATACATACGACATAAATATAAAGTAAATTTATATATACACATACGATAACTATAACTATAAAGTCTATATATACAATACCATACATCTATAAGTAGTTACGTGGTTCGTAGTTGTAAATGTGAATGTGAGTATTTTATACAAAACAGAAAAGAAACGAAATAAAAAGCAAATAAAGCAAAGCATGAAGCGATAACAAGAAACCCAATTTTTATACCAAAAGAAAGAGAGCGAATGATGATAAGCCCCATTTGAAGCGATCGAAAGTGATCGATCGCATGCTATATATACAAATCATATATATTTTAGGATAACTGCTGTAACTAAGATTAGTGACAAGTTGGCGTAAGCAGAAAGCAAATGCAAAGTTGAAACAATCAAAATAACATTTAAACAACAAGCAACATGAAAATGGAAATACTTTTTTGCGCTAAACTATTAAAAGTTTGCCTCACACACACACACACCCGCACTCATACTGACAAAACTTTAACCCTGTTAGCGGAAAAAAGTGAAACTTTGGTGCAGCCAGAGGCGCGGCCTTTATATATGGGCCATCCTGTTTTTGAGGTTTTCCCACTTGTCGGCCAACTTTTTAATGGACCCCTCCCCGAATCCCTGAAGCCCCATCCTCATAACCATCCCTTCCAGTTGAATGCCAGCGCCTTCAGCCGTGCTGGCAGCCCCAACTAGGTCTAATTAGGAGCGATGAGCAACCGACATCGTTCTCATAGTTTTGGCTTTCGATTCGCCCGCTTTGTCCTTTGTCATAGCAACCTGGCCACTTTTTGCTTTGCCTCTTTTTTTACCTTTGTTGGGCACATTAATTAAACTTCTTGCCCGGGAAAAAGCCAAGGAGGGGAAGGCGGGCAAAAACAAGGCGCACAATTACAAAGGCCAGCGGAAGGAAACTAAAACGAAAACATTCCTTCTTTGGCTCGCCAATTGGAAATTAGTTTCGCCAACTGGCCAGCAGACACAGAACACAGAACACACCAAGTCACACACAAAAACAGAGGGAAATGTATTCATATAATTTAATTAAATGCAAACAACAAAAACGGTTTTGGAAAATGTACTTGCGATAGAAACGATAAAAAAGTCGGAAAATAGTTTCAAAAACTACATATAGAAAGCGTAATAAAGGGGAACTAAATGAAAGCTAAACTAAAATAATCTAACTAAAGCTAAAAACAGAAACACACAAATGTGCTGGAGAGCAAAATATATTCAGAGACGAAACCGGAGGTATGGACAAAGGTGTCTTGGGGATATAAGCTGATAAAGAGCTGCAACAACCTGACCGAAAGTCTATGCAGATTAAGCCAATGAATCGGGCTTCTTGGCCAAACTTTTCCTGGCACGACTGGAAAAGTCCAGAGCAGAAAATTTCGAATGCAGAGCAGAGCTTTAAATTCTATCTGTTCCCCTTCGGCTTTGGCCGTTCTCAGGCACTGCTGGCTCAATGCTTTGTCGGCCAAGTCCACTTGGCTCTATCTTCTATCCGTCTACAAGCATTTAACATTTTTTCGCTCTGCTTTGGCCCACTCTGACTTTGGTCCTTTGTTGGCGCAGAGAAAGCTGAAGCGGAGGACTCCATTCAGGAAACTAATAAGTTTTTAAAACTGACCCAATTAGCTCGATTAACTTGCTTCCCCGTTCTGCAGACGCCTCAAAGACACCTTTTGTTCATCCACTCAAAGCCATCTCGAGAACCAGGCGAAGGAGCTCCAGTGGGACCCAGATTGGAGGCCGGGGCTGTCAAAGTGGCAAAGTAGCAAACACACAGGACACACACCCGCACACCCAGAGAACAATGTAGAATGTTAGTAGCATCATGATATGTGTATAGGTTCTTAGGCCCTCTATTGAAAGTTTTTATTTTGCGGATGGCAAAAAAGTGAATGAAGGTGGAAGCGGAGAGAGAGACGTGAAACCAAAACAAAACACAACCTACCTAAAGCGATAAAACAAAACCTAACTATTTTTAGTGTGTACCTTGATTTTTTCAAAGCGAAAGAAACCCTGAACGGACGATGAGATTTGCAGAGGGGGACCCCCAGGATAACTAATATTAATAGATATATACGAGTATATGAAAAGTAACGTAAAAGTAAAAGCAATAATGAGAAAACGCGTAGCTATCAATAGGAAGATCGAGAGGGTAGGCTAAAAAATACTCTAACTCTAGGCAAACGATAACCGTAAGGCATAGTTGACGATCGATGAAGGAAACGTGTAGCATACTTTTTTGGGCAGCCTATTGGCGGAAACGGAAGTGAATCGATCGAAGACAGATCGGATTTGGAAACGGGAACGGAAAAGGAAACGGAAATGGGAACAGGAACAGGGGGCAAGCAATAGGCAAGTTAAAGACGGTTAAAGGAGGCAGAAATCGAATTGCATATGATTAAAACATAAAACAAAAACTATTTTAAAGTAGAGCAGTTTTGCAAAAAGTATTTAAATGTGTCGTTAGAAAACCCCCAAAAATTGTAGTTGCATTGTCGTTAGCCATAGTAGCAAAGTTGCATATTGAATACGAGGACACTGGAGCAAAAAGAAGTGAAGGAAGAAGCATACATACCATACATCAATCAATGAGAACTAACATAGCCGGCATCTTAGAAACATCATCAGTATTTGTGTATAAGTCCTGCATGAAACGGAATACATACATACAAACAGGCCCACATAGATACATATACATATGCATACAAACATATAAATATCGTAACGTACGAATAAATATAGCTAAATCCAACCACACAGAATCCCAAAGCAGATCCCATAAAAAACGTAAAGTCACTCCCCCGAAAAAACGTATAAGTCAAACACCAGAGACGAAGAAACTTAATATAAACCCCGATAAAAGGATAACACCACTTGATCATAAGCTATAAACAACAGAATCGAGCTCTGCGAGAACGGAGGCAACTGTACTTGAGTAAGAGGACAGCAGAAAACCACAGTTAATACCTCCTAAATGCCAGAAAATCCCTAAACGGGCTTTCCTTAAGCGTTCTTCAGTCGCCGTCACCTGGCCCAAGCACATTTTCAGTTATACCTAACCTCAAACTGAGCTCAACCTAACCTCAATCTGTCTAAGGATAAAATGCAAGCGGTTGCCTCTACTCTCACAGCCAAATCAACACTCACGTACAGCCACACTCTGACACAGTTACACACCAGACATTTTTGATACCGAACTAATTGATAATGAGAACAGGAAGCAGAGTGAGGAGAACAAAAGGACAGGCGGACGAACATCATTTATCTATTGTGAACTACATTGTTTGATTGTGAGCTAAGTTCCGACTACTACAACCACTACTCTCTATGAATGTTTTTAGGTTATTCACTAAAATAATTTTGTAATATACTAAAACCGCAAGCTAAGCAACTTTTACTATAACAACAAATGATGAAAACCGAAAAAACAAAAACAAACAATAAAATAAAATATATATTAAATATATATATATATATAGAAATTAAAGTGTGTTTTATTGTCTCGCCTCGATCTTGGGAAAAATGCAATTATTAAACAAAAGTTATTTTTGCAAGCACTTTGAATTTAAAATGGATATTTGTGGCGTCTACAGGGATACAACTATTCGTACATATATATTAATGTATAGGTAGATTATACCCACTTAAATTCCTACGTATTTATTTATGCAAATTTAGTTAAATGCAAATTAATTACATAACTGCCTGTAAAAGCTGAAAACGCTGCCAAATGAAAATGTTTACAAAATGCAGCAACAAAAACAGCGAGTTTGGCGACTTCGCACACACGTACGCGCATACTTTAATATAAACAAGCGATACAGGAAAGCGGGTAAAAGCGAGGTAAGCCTCGAAGCAAAAATTATTTTTGCATCATTAATTTACATTTATATTCAATTAAAGCGCAAACACATTGCCAGGGGGAGGCCAGCACCGAAGGGTTTGCGGGGGGGTTTGCAGTTGTGCCGCATGGAAGGCGCGTGCCTTACACACCGCTGGGCGTGGCAGTGTGCAAACACACGCCAAGCCAAAATGTGAGAGCGATAGTTGTCAAAGGGAGAGTTCATTTTAAAGTTAAGTCCTGTGAAAAATTAACCCAGAATTTAACAAGGAGGCTATATTTTATGTAAAGTGTAAACCGCTTTTTTTAAGAAAAAGTATTATATAAAATTATTTAAATAGGATTTGTTTTTTACGTTTTATCCTAACGAAAATTCTTAGCTAAAAATTTGTCTTTTCTCAGTGTCAAGCAAATTGAGATAAAAGACATTTCTTTTCGACACTTTGAAAACTCGCTTGTTTCGCGAATAATCGAAAATTTGGTTTAAAACCTTGAAATCGTATGGGAAATCAGAGTTTTAACCCTACTTTAAATTAATTAAATACTAAGCGGAACTAAGTAAAATTTGCGGTAATAATGGAACTAGCGTGAAAATGTTTAGCTCAGTTTGGAGTAAAGTAGATTGTAGAATACTTCAAAGGTGCTACGAAATGAAATTTTATATTTTCGTGCTACTTGTTTCGCTTTTGCTTTACTTTTCAGACGATTAGGGAAAAACAGACAACACGGATACCGGAAATCAGTGCAGTGCCCTGAAAACCAAAGTAGTATGGCCTTGCAAAGTTATTTTTTGAAGTGCAAACAAAGAGACATGTGTCCCCGCGAAAGTCCAGATGGCACTTACAATATTAAGATTCGTGGTATATAGGTAAGTATATATTCGAAGTACATTGTGCATCGAGTGGATAGATGGTAAATCAGAAACGTTTTGACGACTCTAATATTTTCAGCAGAAACTGGATTGATTACAGGGTGCCAATGCCAAAATACCGCAAATGGTAATATTGTAAATGCCATCTGAACCTTTGCGGGGACATCTGTCTCTTTGCTTGCACTTCAAAAGATTGCTCTGCCAAATCTTTTGAGAGGATAGCAAAGAATTTAGTTTGTTCTTCAAGGCACTGCACTGATTTTTGGTATCCGAGTTTTCCGTTTTTTACTGACCGTCTGTAAAGTAAAGCAAAAACGACACAAGCAGCACGAAAATAAAGAATTTAATTTCCTAGCACATTTAAAGTGTTCCGCCTGGTACTATCAATAAACATTCAGGACCAATAATCATTTCAGCAAGGGTGAACACAATAAAAGTAAGATAAATATTTATTTGTAAATATATCACAATTCCAACGTAGTGAAGGAGGCGTAAAGGACACAAATATATTATTTCGTCAATACGATTGATCTTTAAAAAAAGATTTCCACCACCCATCTAACGCCTATAAACGTCCATAACGGTAAAATATGTATGTCTAACGACCACTTTTGAAATTTTGATTTGTTTTTCAATACCATTCGGTAAAATTGTATTCTGATAGAAATAAAACTATGAAACAAACTACGGACCTCATCAAGAAAGTATACCTACCTTGTAGCTGTTACATACCTACGTCTCAATAAATACAACACAAACGTGTATGTGAAATATATGATATATCCATTAAATATATTCTGCATATCAGTACACACGTCAAGGCCTGTCGCATTTCATCATTTAGCCAGACTGCCCAGGGCAATCTCGCTTTTCAGCTCATAAACTATTTCTATTAATTAACCATTTAAAATACGCATTTGCACATTTGCCATGGCCACTTAAACTGTGTCAACAAACAAAGAGGAATAACCGGAGTGAGCCAGTGCGACAGAGAGTTTGTCAACTTTTTGACCAAGCCCTGAGAGTATTTAAACAATTATCGTTAAAGTGCATAAAAAGTTGTGTATATATGCATCGATATAAACAGCTCAAATTTCGAGTGCTGAACGGGTTTGTTGTTTTATTTATTTATTTATTTATTCTGCACGCCTCTCCAGCCGGGGCGATTCATCGATTGCGGTCGGTTTTGGCCCTGTGTGAAATCTGTTTAAGTCCTTTTTTGCCGCTTTTGCTTTGGCTCGACAGTTGCAGTTATTAAAATTACTCTGCAAAGTGATGCGCATTTATAATAATTTGCATATTAAATTATTTTCAATGGCAGGACAATGATTTTCAACATCGGCAGCGGCGGCAGCAACAAATAATAAAATAGCCTCAAAGACGCAAACAAACAACGGCGGAATAAAAATCGTAAAAAATCGAATTAAAAAGCGTTTAATGTGCCAGGGATTTAAGCTCAGGCTGGCGGCGTTGGTCGGGGCGTGTCATTATTTGCAATATATAATCTGCAATCGCTTGCCATTTTATCCCCAACTTTTTGTGATCATTAAGCAATGTTTTAATTTTTTCACGAAAGCAATATTCGATTGCATAAAAATGGTTTTCAATGGAATTATGTGAACAAAACAACAAATTCCCCCCGGACGGAGGAAACAAGAGTTATGTGTTGGCTTGGCAAATTGCCATCAGTGCGTATACTTAATGAGCTCGGGCCAATCGAAAGCGTTGTGGCGAGCATTAAATTAGAGTTGATAAAGGAATTTAAATGCTATTCGATTGATTTGGAAGGCCAGAGGAGCCTGCTTCACCCGACAGAGGCCTCACACTCCCGTCTCCAATCCCCAATCTCCTACACACAAAAAAAAAACAAGAGAGAACGCTATAGTCGGGTTGTTGTCCCGACTATCTAATACCCGTCACTCAGCTAAAGGGAGTGCGAACGCTGTGTCGGGTTGGTGTCCCGACTAATAATCGTAACTAAGCTAAAGGGAGTGCGAGGGAGATAGATATATAATTTTTGATTGCGTATAACTTTTTAATGAATGGTCCGATTTGAAAAATGTCTTCTACATTTCGATAGGTATAAATATACACAACAAAATTGCATTTATACTTCTCGGAAATCTTTAAAGATGTGGGCGCAGGACCCATTTTAAAATCGTTAGTGGGCGATTGTGGGCGTTAGAGGGGGCGTGGCGCTCGGCTAAAATAAACTTGCGCTGCGTAGGAAGCCAAAGAATATGTGTGGGAAATCTCAACCTTCTAGCTTTTGTAGTTTCTGAGATCTCAGCGTTCATACAGACGGACAGACGGACAGACAGACAGACAGACAGACAGACAGACGGACAGACGGACATGGCTAGATCGACTCGGCTAGTGACCCTGATCTAGAATATATATACTTTATGGGGTCGGAAACGCTTCCTTCTAGCTGTTACATACTTTTGCACGAATCTAGTATACCCTTTTACTCTACGAGTAACGGGTATAACTATGTAAAATCAACCATTTAACTGCGCCAACCCATAAAAATAGAAAATGCCCAAAAAAAAGTAGATTACCTATAAAATAGTAGATGACCTACAAAATAGTATTATACCCGAAAAAATTATTGTTTTTTTAAATTATTTTTAAACCCTTGCAGGGGGTATTATAATTTCAGTCAGATGTTTGCAACGCAGTGAAGAAAACGTTTCTGACCACATAAAGTATATATATTCTTGATCAGCACCAATAGCCGAGTAGCCATGTCCGTCTGTCCGTTTCTATGCGAACTAGTCTCTCAGTTTTAAAGCCGATGAAACTTTCTTGAAAGCTCTTTCTATGGCAGGTAGTACATATGTCGGAGCGAGCCGGATCGGACCACTGTATCTTAAGGCTCCCGTAGGAATATTCAAACAAATATAAGAAAATTCATTGTAACTTTGTAGGAAGTAGGCGTTTTGATTTTTGACAACTTAAAAACAAAATTTAAAAATGCACGCTGAATCTGGAATCCCTGGAACTGCACCGAGTGAGCATTAAGCTATAAGTATTTACTTTATCTGCAAGGGTATATATCTATCTTCCTTTCTTGTTATTTGTAGTTCAATTTGTTATATTAATTTATTTGAAAGTTATTTGTAGACACGTATGTACATTTCACAGATACCTAAACTTACAAATCAGGTTTTTTGCCTCCGCTGGGAATCGAAACAAAATACACGAAAAATTCAATGACCAAAAAAATAAAACAACAAAATGCATAAAAAATTCAGAAAATAGTGAACTACTATTTTTTTATGTTGATTTTACATAGTTTTTTTTTTGTGTGTAGCTCCCCTAAACACCCGGAGCTTCCTCGTTAACACTCCGCAAACTATCACATCTCATTTGCCTAACACCTTTCGATCCCTTGATGAAGTTGGCACGGCAACTTTGCAGCCGCACAAGTTGGTAGCCCATTGGTGGGTGCTTGTGTTTGTGGGCCAGGATATTCGAATCCGACACTCGAAACTCACTCAAACACTTGGCATAATGCGAGCCTAAAAGCGTGCCACATTTGTAAACCAACACTTAGCAGGGGGCTGAAAAGGGTGGAAATTATGCAGCAGGAATAGAAATAAAAAGTAAAATGCTGTCACATCCGATTCGAGTGGCAATATCAACAGGACGGACCCGGGCAAACAACACCTAAAAGAATTTCAATAATTTCCCCAGCAATTCCTGCTGACAAGCTTCGCATTTCTATGGCCATTAACCCTTTTTACGGTGGCACTCCCAAGAATACCTGTGCATTTACAAGCCGAAATTTTAGCATATTTCCACAGTTTATTTCGCAAATAATGCCGAACTGTGCATTTCTAATAGACGAAAGCCAATTTCGGCACTCTCATCATCGGCATCAGCATCCATCCTCCCCCGTAGAAGTCATAAAAATCTAAATTTCAAAGCAGCCTGCCAAACATCATTGGCATTGGCGAGAGGGGCGGAGTAGGGCCTGCCGAATGACAGAAATTTTCGACAAAAGTCCTGTGCAAGGACTTCCTAAGGACGAAGGGGGCTCGGTATTTAAGTGCAGCCAGGACAGCTGCAGCAGGGACACCTCGGTGACAGAGCAAGGCATGCAAAAATCTATGCCTTCCATGTCCGATGACGAGGGCTCTCCCCTTCCCTATCCTCGATTCACCGGGTCCCTTTATGTCCGTCTGTGGCTTTTGATTCCGACATTGCATGCCAGTCACCTGTGAGGGGGTGTGTGTGGCTCTAGGACAGCAGCTGGTCGTAAAGTGCAATAATGCTTGAATTTATGCAAGTCGAGTGTAATAAAAATATGCATAATTCTGCCGTAAATGATCTTAAGCAAAGCACACACACCTAGAGCTTCTCTCCCTATTTTTCAACTTCCTCAAGTACACCCAGGCGACCAAATGTGTCTAAAGCCTTAAATGTAGTTAGAACTTTTTAATTTTTTAATTAATTTTTTATTTTAATTTAGTTTTTGTTTATATAAATAAGGTATTTTCCGAAACACTTGATTTAACATTATTCTACAAAAACAACATCAAATTTATACTTTTATTATCACGTTCAGCTCACTTTAATATACAAATTACTGTTTCAAATATTTTAATTATAATAATAGCAAGAAAGAACTTTAAAATTGAGTCATTATGAAGTATTGAAGCCTATCAACTTTCTGAGAACTTTATATATTTTTCTAGCAAAAAACCCGTTGCTACACAAAGCTCTTTGCTAATTTGGTCTTAATTGAAGGCCAAGTCGTATTGGGAATCCACCAACCTACTATCGAACTATAAGTTATCAACTTGTAGCGTTAGGAAAACATTAGAAAATAAAACTGAAATTAAAATTAGCCTTGTGCGCCCGCATCCCCATCCGTTTGGCTCGATTGAAGTCCAGGCTCGCCACTTTGGTTACTTTGTCGGCTGGACTTTTATGTCTTCTTGGCCCGCTGCTATGTTGCTTAAGTGTTATGCGCCTGCAGCACACCCATTGATACTGATGCACTGGCTCACAGCAGCCCACTGATGCCCAAACAGGCTCATAAAGGGCGAAATCTTTTGGATTACAACGTCGGGGGCAGAATGCAAGCGGTGGAAGCAGGAGCAGGAGCAGAAGGAAGCTTATTGCCATGGCCATAACTGGCGAAGCTTTTGGTAAAACTTAAGCAGTTCGCAGGTGTTGCAACGAAATTGCAGTATATCTAGCCAGCCATCGTTTCGCCGCACCCCATTTGCCACCCACTCCGCACCTTCAGCCCCCCGGAAAGTTAATGATCTTCGGCATATGTTGCGGGTCACGGAGGAGATGACTTTCGGGGGAAAAGCGGACTGGCCAGAATGGGGCAGGAAATTAG